GCCTTGCAAACAGGTTCATCTGTACCATTTTCTTAGATTCCATGTAGATAAAATGAGTTCATTGACTTTTCTCTTTCTGACTTACTTCACTCTGTGTAATAGTCTGTAGGTACATCCACATCTCTGCAAATGACCCAGTTTTGTTCTTTTTTATGACTGAGTAATATTTTGTTGTATATATGTACCACATCTTCTTTATCCATTCATTGGTTGATGGACATTTAGGTGTCTTCCATGACCTGGCTATTTTAAATAGTGCTTCAGTGAACACTGGGGTGCATGTGTTTTGTTTTTTTTCTAAGTTTGTTTTTTCCAGGGTATATGCCCAGTAGTGGGATTTCTGGGTCATATGATAATTCTATTTTTAATTTTTTAAGGAACCTTCAAACTGTTCTCCTCAGTGGCTGTATCAATTTGCATTTCCTGCTTTTTATCTCTGCAAACATCCTCAAACATAACTGAATGCTAGTGGGGATTGCTTTGGATGACTGTTCTAAGGACATTTATAGTGAGGACAAATAAAGACTCATGATGTTGAAGAAAGTACCTTCAAAAGGAGACGTTCTTAATACAGAGAAGCTCCTGGTTTACATAGTATATTATGATGACTTTAAAGTAACACAGTTATTCAGACTTTCCAATAGTTGTTAAAAAAAAAAAAAGATTAGGAAACTTCTTGGTGAAGAGCAATCCTTAGGAAGATAGTTAACAGTAATGCTATCTTTTATGGATTCAGCACTGTGTTAGGTAATTGCACCAGAATGCAGAGGCCTTGTCTGCTCTGAAGGCCCTTTGATGGAAACAGCCAGATCTTACCCCCCAACCAGCTTCACTCCCAAGGCAAGCAATGTTCTCTTGATTGGGACACTTTTCTCCTGTGCACTTAGCAAACTTCCACCAGGGGGGACAGTTGCTATTTCTGCTTTGTGTGAAGCATTTTGTACCATCTGGGCTGGCTGAATTTCAACAGAGATAGTAAAGAAACATTTATCAAGAAAAATCAAAGTCAGTCTCGCCAAGTGTGGTCTAGAGAGATTTGCTTTCTCGATACATATACAGCTCTCTTGCTGCTGGGAAACATGACTCTGCTTTGAAAAGCTACAGGAGGGACAGGCCTTTGGATCTTAGCCTGCAGCTACTTTCAACTGCTCATGATACAGTGACTTTAGTAGCCAGAGCACTTGGGGATGTGAATACCGACAGTCCCAGAATCAATTCCACTGTGTTCCTATTCATAGAAATTTTTGGCCCCTTTGGGAGAGGATAGACCCAAAAGAAACAGAAGTAGAAGAAAGGGTCTATAAGAGTTGGGGGAAAGATGGAATCATGCCTCCGTTAGGATTGGAAAGTTCACGGGAAGTAGATGGCCAGGGAGAGGTCATTCTTAAACCATTAGTTATGAGATTGGCTCAAGAATACTTGTCCTACAAAGAGCACTCTGAAGGAGCTGTGAGGTTGCATACTTACAAGAGAAGAATGTTCTGGTGGTTGTCGTGTGCTGTCAATTTATAAGACAGGGGAGGGAGTGTGTGGTCTTTGAAGAAAGACAAGCTGTTTTCACTTGCATATGTGCTGCCAATCAACCAGACAGACACGTTTCTGGCACTTCAGAGCCTCTCAAATCATGTTTTTATGCAGCTCACTAGGGTGATAGATGTGTCATTCCAATATCCAAGCCTGGAAACTGGCACAAGCTGTTTTCCTTGGAAGGCTCAGTGAATGAAAGTAACAGTTGGAGATTGTATGTAGTCCATGGGGAAAGTGTATGGGCATATTAAGAAATTATATCATCTAGGGAAGTTTTACCTAGTGTGTGCTCTATGGACCAGCAGTATCGGCATCACTTGGGAACTTGTTAGAGAAACAGATGAGCAGGTGTCACTCCAGACTTAATGAATCAGAATCTTATCTGTGGGAGTGGGTCATAGGAATGTGCGTCTCACTGGTCATCTGGATGACCCTTGTCCACACTAAGTGTTGAGAAGCATTCCTTTGGAAGGGTTCAAATGGAAAAGTAAGATGCTTTATTCTCAAGAACAAATTTGGAAATGATTAAGTCTTCATAATAAAAATAAACCAATGTAGTAAAAGAGGGCACTGAATATTAGTTGTAATAACGATGAAATAGCAATAATATGAAAGTGAAAGCAATAATATAGCTAGCATTTATTGACTATTCCCTTGGAGCCAGTTTCTGTGCTAACAATGTATATTCTTTATCTAATTGCACCCTTTTAACAACCAAACAAGGTATATTCTTTCCATTTCACTGATCAAGAATTTGAGGTTCAAAAATGTGAAATAATTGCTAGGCAAGATGCAGACCCTGGATTCTTACAGCCCTGTATCCACTATACTATATGACCTGGCTACTGTGTCCTTAGAAATCAACTCTACTTTGAATTTGTTGTTGTTGTTCAGTTGCCAGGTCACGTTCGACTCTTTGTGATCCCAAAATTCCTTTGAATAATTTGGTTTTATTCTGCTAGGTACTGGGGACAGGGGGTCAACATAAGATATTGAAGACAAAATCAACATGTTATTATGTTGGCACCCCTGTCCCCGGTACTTAGCAGAATGCCAAACACATTAGGGACCTGCTTATTGAACTTAACTGAATCAAAGAGAAAAAATTCTTACTTTTGGTACAAAAATGAGATACAACTTGCAAGATGACAAGGAGTAGGAATTCAGCCTGTGGATAAGTAGAAGAAGGGGCCACGTGCTAGAGTACAGAATGGTGTCAGTGAAGAATAAGTTATAGCTTGCCTCCTGGGGTCCCTGTCACTCCTCTGACAGTACACTCAGCCCTTTCTTCATTCCCTTTATTCAGTCTCAACCCTTCACTAGCTATATGATCTTAGGCAGGTCAGCCCCCCACCACTCCATCCCAGGCAGTGGTTAGTTGTCAGATAAAATGAAAGGAAAGAGGGGCAAGGGAGTTGAGAGTAAGTTTGGGGAGTGAATATAATGCCCCCAAAACTTTAAGCTGGGGGTGAATGGAATAAAGACAAGAGGGAATGAGGAGAAAGAGAAAATGTATTGGGCTCAATAGATTGATTGGTGATGAAAGATTTGTAGCAGTGGTGTACTAGAGTTAATGAACTGGAAAATGGGAAGTAGCATAGATTGTGGGATACATGAAGTTGAGTTTAAGAAAGTAGTGTAACTTCTGGATGATGAGCACCAGGAAGGGGGTGACTGTGATGAGGTGGAAGCCAAGGTTTCAGGGAGTGAAGGGGATGCTTTATTCTTTACTTTTATGTTAACTTGTTGCTCTTATGAAACACTTAGAGCAAGTATTGAATGATGGCGGTGGTAATGGGTATCTTTGTCATATTCCTGACTTCAGTGAGATTGCATTTACCATTAACTTTGGTGCTATTATTTCAGATGTCCTTTGTTCTGTGGAGATTTCCTGTTATTTCTAGCTAATTGCAGTGATCCTATGGTTTTCTCCTTTGACCTATAATTGTGATGAATATTTTAATAGTAGATTTCTGAGGTTGAGCCATCTTTGCATTCTGGGTAGGAGTCACTGTTTATTAGCCTTTTAGCAGATAGTTTGATTTAGTCTGCTAATATCAATGTATTACTTTGGGTTTTCCTATCATAAGTGAGATGGTTGGCACAGTATCCTCAAGATCTAGACAGTTCTCATTTTCTTATCTCCTTCCCTTGGCCATCTATGTTACTGGTGTTTGAACTGACTCCTAATTAACTTCTTCCCATTTCTCCAGACTGATGTCTTATGCTACCTCATCCTTCCTATTCTCAGTTGCATCCCAGACTGTTGACCTTCTTCTTCCTTTGCCTGCTAAACCTCCTTTACCCAGGGTGTTCTTGGTTTCAGGTGGAGCCTAGCTGTAATGCTGCTATTTTTCCAGCCCTTTCTCCTTTGGCTGTCTAGGTGCTAGCTAATGGGTGCTGCCTGGATAATAGGTGCATTTTGGTTTAGAGGGCAGTTCTTTCTCTTTTATTAATAGCTTTTACTTTTTATTAATTACCTTTCATTGGAGTGTAGTTGCTTTATAATATTGTATTAGCTTCTACTGCATAGCAAAATGAATCAGCCCTACATATACATATATCCCCTCCCTCTTGGATTTCCCTCTTATTTAGGTCACCATGGTGCATTAAGTAGAGTTCCCTGTGCTGTACTGTATGTTCACGTCAGTTGTCTATTTTTCTTTTTGAATTCAGATAACATGCACCATTAACCATTTTTAAGTGTGTAGTTTAGTGGCATTTACTACATTAACAATTTTGGGCAACCATCATTTCTGTCTAGTTCCAAGGAATTTTGTCACCTGTAAAGGAAACCATTAGGTAGTAACTCCCCATCCCACCTACCACCAGCTCCTGGCAGCTGCTAGTCTGCTGTCTCTTTGGATTTACCTGTTCTGGATGTTTCATATAAATGAAATCATAGAATATGTAAATTTTAATGTCAAAGTATACACATGTTCATAGCAGCACCTTTTAAAATAGTCAAAAGTTGATCAACTGATGAATGGATAAACAAAATTTGATATATTCATGCAAGCAGATATTCAGTTCAATTCAGTCACTCAGTCACGTCCAACTCTCTGTGACCCCATGAACCGCAGCACGCCAGGCCTCCCTGTCCATCACCAACTGCCGGAGTCCACCCAAACCCATGTCCATTGAGTCAGTGATGCCATCCAACCATCTCATCCTCTGTCATCCCCTTCTTCTCCTGCCCTCAATCTTTCCCAGCATCAGGGTCTTTTCAAATGAGTCAGCTCTTCGTATCAGGTGGCCAAAGTATTGGAGTTTCAGCTTCAACATCAGTCCTTCCAAAGAACACCCAGAACTGATCTCCTTTAGGATGGACTGGTTGGATCTCCTTGCAGTCCAAGGGACTCTCAAGAGTCTTCTCCAACACCACAGTTCAAAAGCATCAATTCTTCAGCACTCAGCTTTCTTTATGGTTATTAATGCTAAAACTGGTTTGTTTGTTTTCTTTCTGTTTTTAGTAAGAGATGCTAAAAACCTTGTACCTATGGATCCTAATGGCTTGTCAGATCCTTATGTGAAACTGAAACTGATTCCTGATCCCAAGAGTGAGAGCAAGCAGAAGACCAAGACCATCAAGTGCTCCCTCAACCCCGAGTGGAATGAGACATTTAGATTGTAAGTTAAAATTATTGCATCCCAGCCTGGGTGGCAAGGTTGGGTTGTGGGCCACCTGAGGTTGGGAAGGTCCTCTACCAGCCTGTCTTTCCTTCCATCCTTCCCTGCCTCCTTCTCTCCCTCCCTTTCTCCCTTCCTCTCTTCCTTTTTTCCTTCTTTCCTTCCTTTCCACCTGCAGTTCTGCATTGCAAGCCAAGTAAAAATTGGAACTTTTTTTCATATACAGTATTGAGAATGTCTCTGATGTGGGAGAGTGGAAAATACTGTGATGTGTTGCTAGGCGAAGCCAAATTGTGGGAGTTGCTCTGGGTCTCAGCAAACATAGAATGCAACCCATAGGGTGGGGATGACCTGCTTAGGTCTGTGTGTGTGGATGATGCTGGGCCAGCTGCCAGCCACCTGCCAGGAGCTCTCTGCTAGCTGCCATACAGTGTCTTCCCTGGCTAGTGCTCCAAGAACATGGCATCACTTTTTGGTGCATCTGAGCTAACAATTATGAGATACATCAGCCGATAGTTACTGAGCATGTGCTGTGTATAGCAAGCACTGTAGTAAGTGATCTGGCTTTACTGGTCACTTCATCCCCATTTTACCAATGCGGCTTAAAGAGGTTAAAGAATAGGCCAGTGTCCCACAGCAAGAACAGGGTAGGATGGGATTCAGTGACAGTCCATCTACAGGGAAAAGTGAAGGTGTTAGTCGCTCAGTCGTGTCCAACTCTTTGCGACCTCCATGGACTGTATCCCGCCAGGTTCCTTTGTCCATGGAACTCCCCATGTAAGAATACTGGAGTGGGTAGCCACTCCCTTCTCCAGGGGATCTTCCTCACCCAGGGATAGAACCCAGGTCTCCTGCATCGCAGGTAGATTCTTTACTTTCTGAGCCACCAGAGAAGCCCTCCAACTTCAGGGACCATGGGCCAAAAGCATGACTTCTTGCGGTGCTCGGTTTCCTCCTTCCCCTCTCAGAGCAAGACTGGGGGCTCATCTCAGCCTCCATCAAGGACATGCCCTAGAACAATTTCCCCCAGACTGGCCCCAGCAAGGCTCTTTCCTTCATACATTTCCTCAACCTCATCATCAATCTGCATGTGTGGAAACACTCACATGATGACATGACTGGCATTCATAGTTCTTAGAGTGACTGTGTCAGTAGGATTTCCTAAACATCGTGGATCCTGGACATAAGGCAGTGCAAGTGGTTAGAACTGCTTGGTCAGAGCTGGCCTGGGTCCTCTTCCTATTTAACCACAGGCTGTAAAACAGAAAAGCTCTGCCTCCCTGGGGAGCTTGCCAGGGATGAAAACTGAATCTGTTTCTTGGAACAGCTTGTAATCTTTAAACATTCCTACCTTTGGGCTTTGTCCTCTTGTACATTTCACCTGCTTGAGAAATCACTGTAATCACTGACATTTTTTTCCTTCTTGCAGCCAGCTGAAAGAGTCGGACAAAGACAGGAGACTGTCTGTAGAGATTTGGGATTGGGACCTGACCAGCAGGAATGACTTCATGGGATCTTTGTCGTTTGGGATTTCTGAACTACAGAAAGCTGGTGTTGATGGCTGGTAAGGAAACTTTCACTTTGAGAGCAACAGTATAGCTTGATCCATTGAAACATGAGATCAAGAATGGTTCCCTTTTTCTCCTAAATGTTTCTCCTTTTTGTCCTAAAGATTAAAGCAGAATCACAAGTGAAAGCTGGTAGATTGGCTCTGCTACATAGATAACATTTAATTTAGTCCTCATGCAAAAATTCCATGGACGGAGAAGCCTGGTAGACTACAGTCCATGGGGTCACAAAGAGTCGGACACGACTGAGCGACTTCACTTTCCTAAACTTTTCCATGCAAAAAAAGAAAAGAAGAAGAAGAAGAAAGAAGAATTAGTTGTCAGTATTCTCAAACTCAGGAAATTTCCCATAAAAGTTTAGGCCTACAGGGTAACAAATAAGGACAGTTGAGTAGTTAATACCTACTTTTGACAGGATGTGGTGATGCTGGTGGTCTAGTCGGCTAAGTCGTGTAACCCCATGGACTGTAGCCCACCAGGTTCCTCTGTCTATGAGATGTTTCAGGCAAGAACACTGGAGTGGGTGGCCATTTCCTATTCCACAGGATCTTCTTGGCCCAGAGATTGAACCCAGGTCTTCTACATGGCAGGCAGATTCTTTACTAATGGAGCAAGCAGGGAAGCCCATTTGCTGTGGTCCTTAATAGTCCCTATTGTTTTACATCTGTCCCACTTTACACAACTGTATGACTTGAGAGGCCCGTGGGCACTAAAATGGCTCTCACACTTTACTTTAAAGGTATGTTTAATTCACTGTTAGATTTTGACTCCTTAAGAAGATGCCTCTTCATCGGGACTGCTTACCAAGCCTGACTACCACAGTGCTGGGGGCTTACTGTCACGCATGCTAAGTTGCTTCAGTTGTATCCAGCTCTTTGTGAGCTTGTGGACCTCCCACCAGGTTCCTCTGTCTATGGGGATTCTCCAGGCAAGAATACTGGAGTGGGTTGTCATGCCCTCCTCCAGGGGATCTTCCTGACCCAGGGATCGAACCCGCATGTGTTATATCTCCTGCATTGTCGGGTGGGTTCTTTACCTCCAGCGCCACCTGGGAAGCCCTGGTTACTTTCACAGCCAGCTGCAGTATCTCCCTTGTTCTGGCATGTTTGCTTCTAACAACAACAAAATCTTTACCCAGTATTCCCAGCGAAGAGGCTGGATAGGTCCTCTTTGGTGACTGTTTCTTTCCCAGTTATCTGAGCAGAGGAGTCAGAAGAGGTGGTCCACCTTGGCACTAGAACTATGGGAGACGTAGTAATTTGGCAGGAATGGGGAGGGTGCTCCTGTCTCTTTAAGAGAAATTGTCTCGTTTCTGAATGGTTTCCTCTGGACTTTTTCAGGTATAAGTGAAAGACAGTCAGAATCAAACTGGTTTAGCAAGAAAGAGAATGGATCATCGGGACCTCACAAGGGACCTCATGTCCTTTCCATTGTCCACCTTACAACTTCCCTGTCTCTCCTCCATGTTTATCATAGGCTTTTATTCAGATATTTGTTTGTGTTCACTCCATCCTAGTCTTTAGGAATACATCAAGTATAAGACAGACATGCCCTCATGAAACTTAGCTTCTGGAAAAGGATGAAAAACCTTGAAGAAGAAATTACACAAATAACTAATCAGCGATACGTGAAAGAATGCAGAAGCTGAGACCATAAAAAAAGCGTGCTGATAAGTTCACTTGTACCCTTTTGGGGGAACTTATCTACAAAACAGAAACAGAGTTACAGAAGCAGCAAACAAACTTACGGTTACTGGGGTGGGGGGGCGGAGGATAGAAGGGATAAATTGGGAGACTGGGATGGATATAGACACACTACTGTGTATAAAATGGGGCTTCCCAGGTGACTCACTGGTAAAGAATCTGCCTGCCAGTGCTGGAGATGTGGATTTGATATCTGGGTCAGGAAGATACCTGGAGAAGAAAATGGCAACCCACTCCAGTATTCTTGTATGGAAAATCCAGTATTCTTGCCTGGAAGATCCCATGGACAGAGGAGCCTAGTTGGCTACAGTCCATGGGGTCACAATCAGACATAAAAGAGTAGGCATGCACATTCTACATATAAAATAGATAACTATTAATAATAAGAACCTACTGTATAGCACAAGGAAGTCTACTCAGGGTTCTGTAATGACCTATATGGAAAAAGAATCTAAAAAAGAGTGGATATAGGTATATGTATAATTAATTCACCTTGTTGTTCAGCAGAAACTAATACATTATAAATTAACTATACGCCAATAAAAAATTTTTTTAAATTTTAAACAGAAGTGTGCTAAAGCCCAATCACAAAAGTTAAAAGACATAATTCTCATAAAGAAAGATAATGACATCTGTTAAAGTTTTCCTTAGCTCATGAGTGAGGAAGCTGGGAAGATGAATGCCTGATTCCATAGGTTTGAGGAATTTTTGTCAGGCTTCCGTGGTGGCTCGGATGGTAAAGAATGGGTTTGATCTCTGGACCAGGAAAATCCCCTGGAGAAGGGAATGGCTACCCAGTATACTTGCCTGGAGAATTCCACGGGCAGAGGAGCCTGGTGGGCTGTAGTCCATGGGATCACAAAGAGTTGGACACCACTGAGCAACTAACACTTTCACTTACACTTTCAGACAAAGGAACGCTGAAATAACTTGGCTAAGTTAGATGTAAAATTGGCTGTTGTTAAACAAGGCAGTAAAATCACAATTTTGGAGGTTATCGTATCTACCAGACTGAAGAACAAAATCTCACCTCGGATTTCTAAAAGTTGACATCTGTCTTTGCAGACTTGGGAGACCATCTGTATCTTACTGGATTGTGAATAATAAATAATAGAACCAAGAGGAAGGAGATAACTAATTAGAAAATGCTCAGGCATGACATTAAAAGGTCACACCATCATCCTTTTGCCTTTTCCCCAAGTTCTGGATAATTTTTCTTGACATCCGGATGATTTGACTTTGCAGGCTCCCAGCGTTGCTACTCAGATTGCTTGTTCCTTCCTCTTTAAATCAAGTGTAAAGAGGTTAAACAGAAAGAATGCATGATCCCTGAGGGTATAAATGAGACAGGAGAGAACATAATAATAATAATTATGATAACAATAGCTGCCTCTTATTGACTCTTTCTAGTGCCAGGCTCTGGGCTGATCTCTTCCCAGGTGTCCTGAAATCATGCATTGATACAGCGTTAGTCAGATGTGCGGAAAAAATATAGCTGCTTTATTTTCTATAATGGACCTAGACTTTCTTATGCGGTTTTGTGACCTCTTGGTGGCTGAGGAGAAGGGAACCTTCACTGCACATAGTGGCTCCTGGGCTTCATTGCCGCAGAGTGATCAACCCTGCCTGGTCCCTGAACCAGCGCCCAGAGGGGCAGGACAGCTCTCCCCTCAACCCCCCAGCTGCGGGGGCATCCTTCTGGCTTTGTGCTGGAGTCCCAGGTCCTCGGCTATTGCCTCTGATTGTGAGGTCCCTTCGCAGTGCCTGTCCTGTTCGTCACACCCCTGGGCCGCTGCCAGGCCCCACCCTGCTCAGCGCTTCCATGGCCTCTCACTTCTGAGTCTTCCGAGTGCAGATCCAGGAGCTCCATCTCGGAGCCCTGTCTTTCCCCCTGCAGCTGCTGCTGTGCTGTGGCCCTCGTGGAGGTTTCTTCCCAGGGCTCTGGAGGCCGGGGCCCCAAGCCCTCTGCTTTCACCCCGTGCCCCCCATCTCCTTCCTGTGGTTCTCCAGGCCCCTAAGGGCAGGGCTGTCTCCCACAAGGGCCACATCCTTCTTCCTGGGCCAGCGCCTGCCCTGTCTCCCCCCTTGAAGCAAATGGCAGAGTGCAGAGAAGACAGAATGGCTTGCTGATAAGGGACGGGCCACCAGGAGTAAGTCCAATATGACTGCATTTACACTTCCATCAGCCTTTGCTTCTCCCAGCATTGCTGGGTGGAACATTGGTCCCTGGATCAGAGTAGTTGATCAGAGGGTGCAGCGCACACAGTGCATGAATGACAGTGCTGGAGATCAGGTCTGGGTCTCTGTGATGCCAGCATCTAAGCACCTACACAACCCATTCTACCCCCTGGTATGGTGGGGGCCTAGAAGGCAGACTGGAAGCTTCGCTCTTCTGACCGGTGAGGCACCTTGTGGCCTCAGACTCTACCGCCTGTACCACAGGCTGCTTAGCAGGTCTGATTCCATTCATCAGGAGTAATTACAGCAACTGCCTCCATCTATCTCTTGGGATAGTTTCGAAGTTGATGAAATAATAGTAGGAAGGGAACTTCTGCAAAAATAAAAGCCCTCTTCAGATGCTGTAGATAAAAGTGCTCTTCAGATTGAGGGCCAAGACATCCATGATGCTGTCTTACCTTGAAATATACCAGATGCTAGAAATTTGGGCTCTTGACCCAAGAATTTTTTTTTTAAACAGTTATATTTTTTAAAATATTTATTCCTCTGGCTGCATCGGGTCTTAATTGCATCATGCGGGATCTTTCACTGTGGCACATGGACTCTCCAGTTGGGGTGCAGGGGCTTTGTTGCTCCACGGCGTGTGGGATCTTAGTTCCCCGACTGGGGATTGAACCCACGCCCCCTTCATTGCATGGTGGATTCTAAACCACCAGACCACCGGGGAAGTCCTGACCCAGAAATTCTGTTAACCCTATGTGATCTAGGGTGTGTCCCATTCCCTTTGTGAGGCTCAATGTGCCCCTCTGGAAGGGGCCGAGCGCTCCCTGCTCTTCTGTGGTTCTCATTTAAGGCCGCCTGGCAGAAACAGCAAGGAAGGCATCCAGATGTGACGCACCAGCCCCGGGCCCCCATCTGCTGCTCTGATACCAGTTCTGTGTCTGTTGTCAAACCCCCTCCTTTGTTTCTAATTTTGTGTCTTTATACCATGTTCTTTCTTTCCCCTTGTTTTTTCAGAAGTTTATCTGTTTCACTGTTGTTGTTTTTTTTCTTTCTTCAGAGAGTCTGGGATTTGTATATCAGTTCTGTGTTTCGGTTTTCTTCTTTCCCGTAGG